CTTTGTGGACTTTAACGCCCACTTTTAGGTTTTGATATTTATGATATTTCAGTTAATGTCCATAATTTGTTGTTCATAGTGCCAGACCGTGGGCGAATCTTACGTCTTCCGGGTGTTCTCTATTAATTAAAATTCCTTTACTGAAAGTTTCCTTTTTGAACATAATATCTTTGATTGCTGTTGTGAATAATCTGGGTGATATGGGGTCTCCTTGTCTCAATCCTTTTTCTATTGTTAATTTTTCTGACTCGTGATTGTCAAGATGAATTATAGCTGACCCTGGATGTTTATCAAGAATGGAATTATGTCTTGTTAATGTTCATGTTCTTGGATCTTCAAAAATTGCAAAGTGATCGATGGAGTCAAAGGCTTTTTCATAATCAATGAAACCAACACAAAGCAGTAGATTGTACTCGCAGCATTATTCCGTTACTTGATTCAATGATGTAGATGGCCTGTTGTTGAGTATACTTTTCTAGATCCAGCCTGTTCTCTTTGAGCACTCTCATCTTTTTACTCTAGAGTCCCCTTGTAAACAGTTCATCATGTCGAGACAGTCAACTTATATTTATGGTCTACAGTTCTTTACGTTTCTTATGTTTCGCCTTTCATACAAGATTTATATTGCTGCTTCTTGCCAATATTCAGATATTGTAGGAGTCTGTAACGTTTTATTGAATGCTTTAGTTCTAGAATGTTCTCGTAGTTTGAACTTGACATTGTGTGTAAGTCGTCAGTCACCCTGTCATAGCAAGGCGCTCTCTTTCATACCTCTTTTCAGAGCAAGTTCTATTTCTTCTTTTTTAAGGGAGCATTTCTTCGATGTGTTCACTTGTTTTCAGAATTGTTTTTGGTGAGGTCAGTGATGTTTGTTACGGCTTTTTCTAGAAGTCTACACATACACCTGGTGTCTCCTCCCAATCGGAGGTTACTTCACCAGTTGTTTCTAACATGCTTGTGAATTTCTTTCGGCATCCGTGTTTGTATATATCATTAGGTCCTTTACCACTTTTTATTTTTTGTTCGATCTTTTCGAGTATAATTATACATGTTACATGAATATCGTGGGGTCGGTGGGCTAGTGGTCAGGCTAACAGAATCTCAATCGTGAGATTGCTGGCCCGGGGGTTCGAGCCTCAGTTCAGTCCGACGTTGTGTCCTTGGGAAAGACACTTTACACGAATTTCCAACTTGACTCGGTCCTTTGGGAAAAGGACGTTAAACTTGGAGGTCCCGCCTCTATAATAACCTAACAGTGTTGATAGGGCGTTCAACTTTTACCATTTCACCATTGTCACATAGATATCTCTCTATCAACTCTGTGTGTGTGTGTCTCTCTCTCACTCTCTCTCTCTCTCTCTCACTCTCTCTCTCTCTCTCTCT